CAGCAAAATGCTTAGGTTTAACGTGGAGGGAAGAAAAACATATTTTTACAAGAACTGCAATCTGAGACAAATTACCTGGAGGTCTCATGCTGCCAGTACAAAAATTCCAAAAACTACTACAGAGGACAATCTTCTAACTCAACAAGTATTACATTTAACACATGGCAATCTAAACTACATCCCATTATAGCAGATAAAGAAGTCATTATCATGCAAGTAAAAATTAGCATCCGCTTATACACAGCTGTGTGCAACTCAGACACATTTGTTGTTTCTAAACAGATTCAAATACAAAACAGCAGCAGGCATGGCTATTACTTCAAAAGGACGAATTTACATAGCTGAAAGCAAATAAGAGCCAGACTATTTTGGGGTGGGGGGAAATATTACATTTAAAAAAAAAAAAGTGAATGATTGCACTATTTAAGGTTATCTTCCCGTAGTAAGGTTATTATATCTGTAGTCGTGGCCGAGTGGTTAAGGCGATGGACTAGAAATCCATTGGGGTCTCCCCGCGCAGGTTCGAATCCTGCCGACTACGACCTGAGTTAAAGACTTGGTACTATTTTGAGCCCCAACATAAGAAAGACATGGACCAGTTAGAACAAGTCCAGAGAAGGGCCACAAGGATGATCCGAGGGCTGAAGCACCTCTCCTATGAAGACAGACTGAAAGAGTTGGGGCTGTTCAGCCTGGAGAAGAGAAGGCTCTTATAGCAGCCTTCCAATACCTGAAGGGGCTACAAGAAAGCTGGGGAGGGACTTTTCATAAGGGCAGTTAGTGACAGAACAAGGGGAAATGGGTTTAAACTGAAAGAGGGGAGGTTTAGATGAGATATTAGGAAGAAATTCTTCACTGTGAGGGTGGTCAGACACTGGAACAGGTTGTGTTTAAGGCCACGTTGGATGAGGCTTTGATCAACCTGATCTAGTGGAAGGTGTCCCTGCTGATGGCAGGGGGGTTGGAACTGGATGATCTTTAAGGTCCCTTCCACTCCTAACCATTCTGATTCTATGATTCATAGAAATTGCTTACTAGATATCCTCCCAAAATGTAGTCCCATAATCTAAAAAGAATGCCAGAGTAGTTAAAAAAGCAACCTCATTTAGAAATTGGAATTGCAAACAGCTAGAATAATGATTTGAATAATGATTGAATTAAAGGAAAAGTCACAGTATTTACTGAACATGAAAAGATTAAGAATTTGAAAACACTGAAATAATAAGATAAAGGACAAGGGGGTGCATGGCCAACTAAATAAAGGATAGCATGAGTAACTTATTTAAAGATTATTAGGAACAAAAAGCATTCTAAAAATGTATTGTTAATTAATAGATAGAAATCGTATAATTGCCAATCTTAATGCAGAAATGTTAAAAATATTTAGTGCATTCAGGTCTGAACTTATAAAATAGGCAACTGTTGATATTGTTGGAGTGAAGAGTTTCATCACCTGAGAAGTAGGTCACACAGCACCTACTGAACACACCCATTTTTAAATCAGTAACCCTAGATATCTTGCAGAGAAGAGCTGTAAAAGAGCTGGCTGAAGAACACCTTAGATGCTTAGTGTTATTTTTCAGCAACTCCTAGAACTCTAAGGAAGCCTCAAAACAGTGAGCAGTCTCCATCCCCAGTGTAAGCACACACACTGAAAAAATACTATTGTTCCAGTGTTTGAAAAGGATGAGTAGTTCATTGTAAGCCTGTTACCTTGACATTGATCTGCATTAAAATAATGGAATAGATAAAGTGGAACTTGATTCAGAGTAAAACCAAAGAAAGAGAATTAATATAAATCAACTTAGTTTATGGAAAAATAGATCCTGGAAAACCAAATAAATATATTTTTTAATTGATGATGTGGCTGGTTGATAAAGCTCACGCTATTCATACAATGGAGCATTCACTAAGGCAGCAGTCTTGGTATTTATTTTGATTAAGAAAACAGACTACAGAATCAACATTATATGGATTAATGCCGTCTAGAGAGGCCTCCAGAATAAACTGTAAATGGGGGGACATCAAGTGGCTTTCCTTCTAAGAACTTGCCCTGTTTCTCTACTACTTAATGTTTTTATGAACAACCCAAAAGAAAATATAAAATAATCACTGACAAAGTTTGTAGGTTACTCCAGTTTTGAGAGAATGACAAGTAAAAATAGAGCAGACATGAATCTTTTTGCAAGCTGGGTAACAGCAAATCATACGTATTTTAAAATAGCCAGAGCTAAGCTTATACATCTAGAAACAAAGAATGAAGGCTGTACTTACAGGGTGTGGGACATCTGTGTGACTGAGAGTCTTAAACAGCTTATAAACATGGTAGACCACAAACTTAACATAATCACAGGATCACAGAATGTTGGGGATT